GTTTTTCTTCTGTGTTTTATAAATTTGAGTAAATTACGTGCAATCCCTTTTTCTTCTAACGAGCCGTGATGTAGCTTTTGTTCCTCTCTAGACAGTTAAATAGATCATATTTTGTCTTACAGTTTTTCAATAACTTTCTTTTGCCAACTTTGCAGAATCCACATGAGGAGGTATAAACTACACTACCAATTCCCACCCCAACTGAATGAAAGAGTCCTAATGAATTGCTATTTAATTATTTTTAGTTTCGAAACAGCAATATTTGACAAGTGAATTGCTGATTCAGCTAAAATCTTTTGACTAATGAAAGTCTTGTTTAAGGCTGAAAATTTCTTCTATTTCCAAAAGAGGGCAGCAGATGGCAAAATATTTATATAGTACATTATGGAACAATATACACTGAATAAGCTGAAGCTCTTATGCTCCAAAATCAGTAGTTTTAGATTGATGTGTTTATTTTTGCTTGTATATGAGTAGATACAACATCATCGATCAGTACAATTATAAGTACGATCTGCAGGTGTTCCTTTACATTTGTGTGATTTTCACAAAATGACAATATTTTGTGGACAATGGGTGTCCTGAGTGTCTCCCTGTGCTTATTCTCTCCCTCGGCTTTAGAAAAACCCATGAATAAATGCACCAAAACATCTGATTTGATCAGCAACAGAGATTTACATTTTTTGGTTGGCATAATGACAATATTGATAAACTTTACTAAAAAATGTCAAAGTAAAAAATAATAATCCACATTCACAACGATAGGATTTTAGCCAAATAAAAGTGAAAATAGCACTTTTGGCTCCCTATAATTAAACATTTATACTGGTGATCAGCTCAGAGGCATTTCAATAAGAGTTTTTGCACATTTAAGATTGTCTCAGGGTTATTTTCTAGTTTGTTTTCTGTCTACTTGCCTAATTAAGAGTGCTGTCAAAGAGTGCCAAAACCACTGGCAGGAGCTTTGTTTTTCTTTTCTTGTTTATGGTTATTTATTATACACACCTTACACAGTTTTATTGTCAAAATGTCAAATTAGATTCTTACAAAAGACCTAAATTAGGTTTAGGAACTTCATTAGGAAAGTTGATGTTTTTTGGATTTTCAGACTGCATTGTCATTCTTCTTTTTTTGACTCAGAAATTTTACAATTAGCTTCTTTATTTGCACAAATCTGCACACTGCATTAATAATTCCAAATACCTCTATATTCCTGCGCTAATAGAGAGAACAGAACATGATGCAGGCAAAGCGTGACACCGACACACTCACAAATGTGCTTTTGTGTGCCAAGGCAGATCTATCAGCTCTTTGTGGTCACTTTGCAGGGAAATTACTGGCCACCCTGCCGGCAGCAGTTCTCACACATAGTGACGAAAAAATCCTCAACACAGGAAATACACCCCTAACAGATTCTTGTGTATGAATGTGTTTGGTGAACTTGGGCACTTTTGTTCTGAACTGAGGGTTTTTTGCACCTATCTGTGAATACTAATTACAAGAGGAGGAAATATATTTATAAGGTTTCTAGTAGGACAGAGGACCATATTCATTTTCTAATAAGCAGTTGTCTTCCTGTCAAATAAAAAACTTGGACACAGTAAAGTGTGCGATTTTAGTAACAAGCATGGGCTGCCATCAAAACATTCACCGGTTTGCCTTCATGTCACTTCTTGTAGGATCAGATTCCTCTACAAATAAATTAGCCCTGAAGTCCCAACAGCTTTCTCCCAGCCTGTGTGAGTGTGTAGAATCAGGGGGGAGCCGTGGAGGCGTGGTCCACTGGGTTGCTAAGGGCAAATTCGTATATAAGCGCAAAAATGAGCAGCACTCCTGTGCAGCCTGAGGCTCTCTGAGCGACCTGAGGAATTCAACAGGCCGTTCCCAGAGTTCTGTGTCGTGCAGCAGGATGTGCAGAATGGAACAGACCCCTCTCTCTGAGCTGACCATGTGTGATGGACGGATTTAAATGAGCTTGATGAGCTGTCATTCTGCAGTAAACTCCAGGTGCTTCTACAGCTGGAATATTGAATCTGGAAGAAATATCTAGAAGTCTGCAGGGGAATTTACTTTTTGTAAGTATGGATTTAGTATGTATTTTTTGCATGTCATGAACTTTGTCTAAATGTGACAAAGAAAGGGAACATTAGGAGATGTGTTAGAAGCATGGTGTGTGTGAAAGCTGTGTTTACTCTGGTCCTGCTGTGTGTGGTGATGCATTGACCTGCAGATGCACTCAGAGTGCTGAAAGAGGCTTTAGACTCACTGTTTGAAATAAAGTTCTCTATAAAACATCAGGGCTGGCCCTAGTCAATTTGGAGCCCTTGGCAAGATTTCAAGTGGCCCAACTTGTGCAGTTTTCTAAATCTCACTGCAAATTTACAAACACTCCCATGCCAATTTTTTTTTAATCTTTAGAAACCAGGTTGTCCAAATAAATCAGCTAATATAATTTATTTGAAACAGAATACCAGAAGTCTACTTCATACCTGCCAACATCTGCTGGTGCCGTAACGAGGAACACCTGTTCAGGTTAATAAGCAGCTGTGGAGTGAAGCAGTTCTAGGGGTCCTGGGGTATACACTCAAAAAATCAAAACGTTTGCATTGGATTTACTTAAATTATGTCAACAGGTTCTTTTCAACTGAACTGAGTAAATCTAACACAATTACTTCACATTCTGTCAGTGTGCCCCAGGGCAGCTGTGGCTACAATGTAGCTCACTGCCATCAGTGTGTGAATGTGAATGTGTGTGTGAATGAATGGGTGAATGTGTGTAGTGTAAAACGCTTTGGGGCCTGGAGGGACTTAAAAGCGCTCTATAAGTTCAGTCCATTTACCATTTTTTACCATTCACTTATAAAATAAATAAAAAAATGCTTTAGATTTACTCATTTCAGTTTAGTATAACCTGTTGACATTATTTATTTAAATCGAAYGCAAATGTTTAGATTTTTTGAATGTACTGTCCAGAAAACTTTGATGATGAAGATGTACTCAAAACTTTGCCTTTTCCAGCCATTTAAAGAAAATTTTACTAAATTTTTGGGATTGATGAAACAACATGAATCAGCATTTCATGCAGGTAGAACACTGAAAACCAGACTTTAATCTGAACGTCATCAAGTTACTTTCACTTGAGCAACCACTGATTATTCTACAGATTAAATCAACTGTTAAAAAGTTATAAAATATTTATTTTTGTGCCCCCCCTCCCCCGGCATGGACTGCATCATTAGCATTTGCCTTTACTGCCTATGCCACAGGCCAGCCCTGAAAAGCCTCATTAAACTGAAACAAAAAACTAATTTCTGAGGCTTGAGGGGACTTCATTAGTGTGATATGAAAAGAACTTTTAGTTTAGATGAACTATTCAAAGTTTTGTTCTCAAATGCAAGCTGCTTTTTGTTTTCCCTTGTCTCTTTGACTCCCTGTTTGGCAGGTAAACGTCGTCCCATCAACAACAATCTCCTCCGTCATGAAGAGGTCCCCTTTTTTCTCGGACTGGGTTGGAGCGCTCGGTTTGATCCTCTGCCTGACCCAGGGCGTGCTGGCTGCCGTCCTCTCGAACTCCTCCCGTCTCGAGTCGATCCTGGACAAGTACAGGGACAAGGACGAGCAGTGGTGGAAGGCCAGGTCAAGAGGGAGGAGGGCCATCAGTGAGGGAGACAAGCACCTCATCCTCGACCTGCACAACAAGCTACGGGGTCAGGTCCACCCTCCTGCCTCCAACATGGAGTACATGGTGAGCTTAGAGGGTACAAAGAGGGTATGCATGTATAATACGAGAGATTTAAAGCCCAAAAATCATCCATAAAGTGTGTGTGTGTGTGTG